TTTATTCATGTGGCTATTCTTTGAAGATGATTTTCTGTCTAGTTCAGAATTTTTAGAGGTGGGAGGCAGTCCTGCTGAGAGGCAGGAAGAGCTGTGATTTTTGCCAAGATAAAATAAAAGCCCCAGTAAATGGTGACATCTTTGAAATCTGCTCTCCCACTGCAGATAGGATGAAGGAATGTTTTTGGGTCTGGAAGCTGGCTATGAGAATTCTCTGATTTCTGCTTAGACTCTTCAGTTTAAAATAACATTTGATAATTTTTATTGTTTATATGAAATTTAGGTTGCCCAAAGTAAGCTGGTGTTTCCAGGACTGTCCTATGCATCATCTCTGCTATAGCATTAACCACATTTTTTTCAGAAAATTTATTATGCCATTAGGAGTACTTGACTTCTGATCCTCATATTGGCTGTGGTTTGGATTTTCTTCTGAGGTTGGGATGAGGGACAACTGGCGTCCACCCTTCCGAGACATTCATACCCATTTGCTTGGATGCACTCTGAGTTTGTCTTGGTTTTTCAGGGTTATCTGTGCTAAGACAAAATAGGCTATGGCTTTGCACTGGATAAGGTGCAAAGACAAGGCTTTTACCCCAAATCATTTTGTAGAGGCCAGTGTTTTTACCAGGGACTGACTTTGCATTTAGCAGCATCTCAGGCTGGTTTTTTTTTTTGTTTGTTTTTTTGTTTTACTCCTATTTAGTCATTATACTGTTTAAAAATGTTCTGATTCAACTTCGCATTATTACAGGATGGCCATATTTTAAACCTGAGGTAGCCTAATCTTTTTTTTTGGTTTTTGGGAGCAAACTGACTTAGAAGATTTTTATTGATTGTCATTATTTATTCTTGTACACACAAGTGACTCATTATACTGTGCAGTCAGAGTGAAAACTCTTAATGATTTGGCAAGAAAGTGCTTCATCAGCACGGCATTACAGAGTCTTATTGTAAATATGAGCCAATCTCTACCTTCTAACCTACAATATACTCTTGGAATTCAAACAGATGTTCTCATGCATATTTGGAAAGCCACAGTGGTCAGGTGAAGTCCCCGGTGACTGGAAAAAGGGAAACATCACTCCCATTTTTAAAAAGGGGAGAAAGAAAGATCCAGGGAACTACAGACCAGTGAACCTCACTTCTGTTCCTGTGAAGATCCTCCCAGAAGATATGCTAAGGGACATAAAAGACAGGGAGGTAATTCGAGGTAGCTAGCATGGTTTTACTAATGGCAAGTCATGCCTGACCAGTCTGGTGGCCTTCTGTGAGGGAGTGAAGGCAACAGTCTTTACTCAGAGGGTGGTCAGGCACTGGAACAAGTTGCCCAGAGAAGTAGTGGATGCCCCATCCCTGGGAGTGTCCAAGGCCAGGATGGGGCTCTGAGCAACATGGTCTAGTAAATAGTATCCCTGCCCATGGCAGGGGGCTTGGAACTAGATGACCTCTAGGTCCCTTCCAACCCAAACCATTCTCTGATTATGTGATTCTATGCATTGCTTAAGTGAAATGCCTTGCGTAGTTGTGGTAGGGGTGAGAATGTTTGTATTGTACTGCACAAAATTGTGACACATTTATTCTTTCTTACATCTTTACCTGAACAAAGGCGCATGATTCATTTCATAACTTAAGAAAGAAAATGGTCTTTCTTGGATTTTTTTGTCCCTTGGAATTAGGAAGACAGCAGAACAGTGCTGACTGAGTACAATTCAGTTAATTTTATAAATATTTGCTCAGCAGCATTTGTCAAATTGCAGTAAATCAGGTAGAAAAGCAGTCAAACTCTAAATTTAAAAAAGTCAAATGAAAGAGCAATGTAAAGGACAAGGACTGGATAAGGGGTGCACCCTTTCCCTCCTGTCTGTATCCTAGCACCTATGGATTCTACAGGGGTTTTTTGCCAAAATTTGGCAAATAGATACTGTAAAAATGTGAAGTCTCCTAAAGGTCATAGGGAAATTGTTTTATTTTTTTTTCTTCACAGACTGGAGTTTCTCATTATGCACATTTCACAAGATTCCATGGGTTTTCTATGCTACAGCTCCCTCAGGTGGTAAAATAATTTTCCATTTGGAATTCCAGCTTGGTTTCTGTGAAACACTTGATTTCTCTTCGGGTGATTTTGAGGCTTCTCCCAACTTACTGTTTGTTCTATCTGATTTGTAACAGAAACATCAGAGTTCAAGGAACAAGAGTTTCAGTGGGAAAGAACTCACTCTTGCTATACTTGGGTTCCCACTAGAAAATACACCACAGTATTACCACAGCTTCAGTGATTTCTTATTTCTCCCTATAAGAATGTGAAGAACATGTTTTCTACAGTTGTTTGACATAATCATGTTGTGCCTTGATTAGAAAAGCAGAATTGGTGTTTGATTCAGACTTAACATGAAATGGTACACAGGATTCCCAGCAGTAATGACCTTTGCTTCATCCTTTGAATGGTAAAGATCAACCATTTGATTACCTTATATGTTCCTTATAAGTTCAGGAGTCTCTGTTTAATTTCTGATTGCATAACCAATGGTCTGTCTCAACCTTGGTGATAAGTCCAGTCCTTCCTTGATTTATAGGGCAACAAATGCACAAACAACTTTTTTTTTTTTTCAGCACAGTTCCTTTTAATTTGGAAACAGAGATGAAATTTATACTCGATTAGTTAGTGTAATATGTACTTCAGAAGTATATGTTGCTTTTCATCTTGAAGGATCTTAAAATCTTTTGCAAACTAGGTACACACCACAAAGCCAGGGCTGTTCCAAGAATATTTTCCCTGCAGAAATCTCTCTGGTGTCATTGATTATTTACCTTTATTCAGTTGTTTCTCTGCTGGCTCTTTCTTGTGCTTCTGCCAGTTACCAGTGCATATCCCACTCCATTGCAATATTTAATTATGGATTCAGTTCTGTTCTTGTCATATTTTTGATTACTTACTTTTTCTGTTACTTTTACCCAGCTTTGGTTAGTAA